TCTCATGTGAAACGTGCAAACAGTATTATTGCCAAAAACATCGATGGGAAAAGAAAATAATCAGCTGTATAAAAGACTGCTCATCAGATCGTAGAACACACGCCAAAAAATCTAGGAAGACTGTTTGCGAGTGCGGAAAACGAAGTACAGTAACATGTGTGAATTGTAGCTTATGTATTTGTTCAATCCACAGGAAAACAGAAGTGCAATATTTTTGTAAAAATTGCTATGTGGCTTGAACGGAAATGTATTTGGTGCATTATTATTTGTTTTTATCAGGACTGAATGATAAATAAAAATTTAAACAAACTAAACAAAAGCCACAAATCAATTGGTCTGAATGAATGAAATAAAAATTGGGGTAGGCTAGGGGTTAGGAGTTATTTATCTTTTAATAGTTTAAACTATTGGGGCATAAAAAAATAAAATTAAACATTTGACTTCCAAACCAGCTTCTACAACAGTTTGGTAAAAGCGTAACTCATGAAAAATTGTCTGAATTAAAAAAAAAATGTTTTCTTCACCGAAAAACATAAAAAACTTTATTTTTCCAAATGAACCCCATTTTTGAATTGTATTTTAAGATTTTATTTTCTGGGAAGTCAATTTAATTACTTACAAAGTTACAATATGGACGGCTTACATGGGCACTTTTGCAGGAAAAAGTTTGACTAACAATACATTTTTCTGTCTCCTTTAAAAATATTCTAAGCAAATATAATTTTCATGCAGCACCCTCCCAAATTAGAGTAAAAATGTTGTGGATGAGAGGACTTTGAGAACGGGCACCAAAATATTGTATATACCTCCGAGCCACTAACCAGAAATTAAGTCGGCATTTTTTGGAATTCACTCACACGCGCACTCACGCAATAAATTCGATAATTTAAACCATAATAATGTTCGATGATTTTTAAATAATTTAGAAATGATGGCTTAATTCCACAGTATTTTTACCAAGAAGCCAATAAAAATATCGAATAGGAAGCTCCATGTTTACTTTTTTTTGGGTAACTGATCGAGCAGAAGATGGCCTATGGAACTATTAAAGGGACAATCATCTCCAGCAAGTTAACCATAACGTAAGACACATATTTTTGTTCAATCTCATGTGTTATAATATTGCAGATTGCATATTTATTTTTAAAAAATCGACGGTGCCTTGATTATGTACACAGATTGGTTTTCGCCTTGCTTTGCGGCTCCATTTTCTCTCACTATTCTGCGCTCGCTGGACGATGAGCAACAAAGTTTCTTCAATTTACGAAGGATAGTGTCATGTGTAATAGTGACTCAGAGTTAATTGAAATAAAATCAACCTAAGTAGGTTGACTGAAATAAAAACAATCTGCTTATTAAACCCACTGTAAGGGCACGTACTTTCTTCCAGAACATCCTCAAACATTATGAATGTGGTCAATTGGTGGAAAACTGACTTCAAATGTGATGCAAAAGCTATATTTTATCAAGCAGTAGGGAGATAATTTGTCGCTCACCATGATTATCTAGCGGCGCCGGTGGTGCAGTGGTAAGCGTGATTGCCTCTCACCCCAGCAGGCCTGGGTTCAATCCCAGTCGGCGCTGCCGGGATGTTCTGAGGCATAACATTTCTGATCACGGGAAGTAATGTCGTTGGTCCCCGGTTCATGAGTTGATGGGTCGATAAGGAAGGTCCAGGTGTGAGAGCTGCCTCCCTGGCGGCGTCGGTAGCATTGGTGCTCAGCACGGAAAACAAGATCGACGTAAAACAAATCCAAAGAAAAAAAAACCATGATTATCTCACGAAAACAAATGTCATTTTGAGGTTTGCATCGGTTATCTTTCAAAGTCCAGAACTCGGTCAGTAGTACAGTTAAAAATTTGTAAGTGGTACATTCTATTAGATAATTTTATAAGCTTTCAGGCAAAAATACGAAACCCCAAATCAATTCATTTTAACTTTCAGAAACGGCTTGTCTACCAATTCGACAGAAATTAACCCGAAATTTGCGGTGTTTTACATGACCGTGTAGCCTTATCAGCTAGTTCACAAAAAAGTTGAAAAAATAACCTTTAAAACGGTAAAAAAACATTTAAAAAAGGATGAGTAGAACCCGAGATACATTATTTTGAAAAAAAGTGTCGACTTCATTTTCAGTGTGGTAGTCGAAGAGTTAAGATTTATTTTGTCCCATTATCATTATTCAACTTTTTTTTGTTTCAGGTGATCTCAAGGTTATCAATATTTTGGCTGGAGTAATTTCAAATAGTGCAACGTTTCCTTGTGCATTTTGCACGGCACGCAAAAGTGATTTAGGAACATGCAATGACCTTGCACGGACACTTGGTTCCATCAGGACTTTTGCGAACAGTTGGAAAGAATCTGGAGGAATCAACAAAGATGCCAAAAACTTTTTCAACTGTGTAAATCAACCTGTCTTGAACGGTGATGAGGATACAAAGATTCTGGATATTTGTCCACCACCTGCTCTACACCTCTTTTTGGGCCTCATGAACACAGTTTACAACAATGTGGCCGAAAATGAGCCCAATTACGCTTCAAACTGGGCGGCTGCCGCAAATGCAACTCGACATGCGCAATTTTGATTCGCTGGGCGTCATTGTAGATATTTGCTGGATAAACGCACAGTTTTGATAGGAGGCAATCTAGATCGTCAGGTAAAGGTTTTGGACAACATGCATGCAATGATAAGCCATTGTTTTGGCGAGGAGCTCAACGATGATTTCGAAAAGTCCATTGATCTTTTTTGTGAAAGTTGGCTTACCGCAAACCTTCCAGTAACCCCTAAATTCCATATTGTCAAATATCACATTAGCGATTTTTGTAAGAAAACAGGAAAAGGATTAGCCAGGTTCACGGAACAAACAACAGAAGCAGTGCATCATGATTTCATCCAAACATGGAGTAACTTTAAAGTGGCGGAGAATCATGTTAAATACGAAGAGAACCTGTTGAAAGCTGTGGTTTCGTATAACAGCGCTCATTTAAAGTAATCTTCATTTATTTGTTGGATCACATTTGCTTAACATTTTCATTATATATAGATATAGGTTCTGATAAGAAATTATGGAAATTATTAAAAATAATACAATTTGATAAAAAAAATAACTGTTTTAATATTTTACTTATAAATGCAAAATAAAACTATGGGAAAGTCGTGAAACCTTATGGTACCGCCAATACCTTATACTTTTGACTACTTTAAGGTTCAATTTACTTTGATGCATTTTCGAAAAAATCAAAAGCAGTTTTTTTCGACGCATTATTTCAGATTGCTATAAGCTCGCGTCATTTTGTGTAGAATAGCAAAAGGAATCGAATAGTGCGAGCATTTTGCAATCTGAACTAATGCGTCGAAAAAAACTGCTCTTGAATTTTTCGAAAAAGCATCAAAGTAAATTGAACCTTAATCCACTTTTGAAACAAATCATATTATTATATTATTAATTTGTATTATCAGAGAATAGTTTTGTATCGTTAATATTTGTTATACACCTTCATTGAAAGCCGAAGGTATGGACAATATTTTACATTAATTAAGTGTATTTATGTACATTTATTGCTTTTAACTTTGTCTATCAACAGAATTTCGTAAAAAAAAAATTGTGTCACGTTTTTATACGTCATGATATTGACGTTTAAAATTATAAATGTTAAATAATGTATGCAGTTTTTGTAGGTCTTAATATTGGCTACAACTTTTGTGAACATCTCAAGTCTGTATCTCTTATACTTGATGAACTAGAGCGAGCAGAGACCAATATTGTTTTTCAGTGAATAATTTACATTCTCTGAAAAACACTGATCTTTATAGTTCGTCATGCGTAAGAGAAACAGAATTGAGATGTTCACAAAAGTTGTAGCCAATATTAAGACCTACAAAAACTGCATACATTATTTAACAAAATTTGATTAATAAAAAAAGTTATTGGTAAACAAATTAAAATGAATGCACCAAATTATTGTAAATGATTTTCCATGCCTGATGTCAACTTCAAAACACTTTTTCTCAAAAAATCCAAGATGAAATATTTTAAGTCTTTCACAGATTTGATTATTATCATCAATATTAACTTCCTGTGAAAAAAAATTCGGAGGTACATGCAACTTGCATAATAAAAGCCTTCAGACATAGCGTGAACCACAATCTCTCCAGCCTCAAAAACTGAATACCAACTGATTGAAATCAACCAGTTGTACCAGCAACACGAGAATGTGACAGGACTACAACAATTCTCTGCAGTTTTTTTTTATCACCAACCAGCCACTTTTAGCATGCACGCAGGACGTAGGTAGGTTGCCGATCTCCCTGGAGCTCGCCGAGCTTAGCTCATGAGACACAGCACATGTGACATGAATGAGGCACGTAGGAACAAAAAAGAAACGCGAAATAATCACCCCTATTCTGTATTTCGTTTCGAACGAAATTCTCATACAAAAAAATATTTTTTTGTATGAGAATTTCGTTCGAAACGAAATACAGAATAGGGGTGAATACGTCTCGAAATGTACCAGGCACCTACGATCTTATAGAAAAAGTGCCTCTATCACGCGGAATGGAAGCACGTGTACATTAACTCTGGTATAATGTCACTCCAGAACTCATTATGGTTATAGCAAGATAGTGCGATAATTATGCGGTTAGTTACGCAATTGGACAACTCAACGTGCTATTATTTATTACTTTTTTCAAACAAACATATACATGTTATTAGAGATATTAAAAATACATATTATGTTAAGGCTTTCCTCATCAAAAACACGAAATCCATAAAATGCCAAATGATACAGCTACATAAGCGTAGATACTGCAAAGAGAAACTCTTTGGCTGCAATCAATCGCACTGACGGCACTAAAAACAAAATAACCACGCAAATCAAAACAGCGGTTTTGTTGGGAAATCGAAACGAATGCCTACACGAAGGGAAAACAAATTTTTATTGTACACAAGAGGATTTCAAAACTCAATAATGGTCACCTACGACCCGCAAATGGGTTTCAATTGCAGCGATGGGACTTTCCTGCCATGAGAGATTGGTAGACCTTTTCAAAGTGATTCAAATTTCGCAACGTTCCACCTGCCGTTCCCAGTCGTTCCAAGCTTTTGCGTGCTGCGTGCAACTGCCTGCGTAGGTTTGGTTTCAGTGTCCTGCTCACCCTAATTAGCGGTGCCCTGGGGACCACCTCTGTGCATGCATCCATGGTCACGTTACGGTCACAGGAAATGCATCGTACGTCTCTTATTGGGGTGCGTTTGCTTCCGGAAGCCTTCTCCAATTCCGATGAGTGACTTTTTTGAATGGTTTGTATCTGAAGATGGAGTTGTCGTATTTGTACATTGACTGCATCAATTGAGGACTGTAACTCATGCTGGTTAGCTTTCGAATTTACATATTCACGTAGAGTGTAAAGTTCGTCCTGATTAGTTTTCAATTGCTCCGACAACATCAGCGTCCTATCGTTAACATCGCGCTGTTGGTTTGATAGCTCTTGGTGTAAAACATTACTGCCTCGAGCGTCATTATTCGACGTAAATCGAATGGATTGGCGTATTCGGGATTCTATTGCAACATCATCGGCTTTTTCCTGGAAAAGCCGACTAATCAAGTGTTCTATTTGTTCCATTTTGGCAGTATTATTTTGTTCGATCAAAGCTAGCTGTTCGGAAAATTGCGGTAAAACTGGAAAATCACCCTCACCGATATCGATTGCAGTTTTGTTTGCAGCGCATATTTTTTCCGTCAGTGATTGTAGCTTGGTTTCCAATTCTAGCTGCTTAAATTCTATGTTTCGAAGGATTTCTACAATGTCAGAGTATCCGGGTTCAGCTGGATCAGTTTGTACGACGTTGGAAGAGCTGAAAGAAAGAAATAAAGAAATAAATCAACACGGCGAATGAGAACGACCCAAATTTGAGTTTAGTTTACTCATAATCACCAAAAGTGCAAGAGCTCAGTGAGAGCAAACTGAAAACCTAATTTGGTGTTCATTTTTCCTGTTGCTAACAAAACGAGTATTCAATTTGATGTTCTGTTAAGGCAATGACAAACTGCAACAACATATTTTTGAAGAGCAAATGTACAGCAGATGTAAAACAATATGTGTTATCAAACTTATCAATCGCGTAAACTGAAATCAAAGTAGGGTTAACTACCCCATTTCCGGCCTATTAAGCACAACCCGCACTTAGTCTTTCTTAATCTAGCGCAGTTTAGCACCAACCAGAATTTTATTATTACTGATGGCTTCCAAATGTATTTACCTTGCCGTACGTACCGTAAGATTTGATAAAGAGAAACCAATCGTTGAGATATTGTCAAAAGTCTAACACTGCTTCTTGACGGCAAACTCGGCCTAAGGATTCTAAACTCGGCCTAACGCATTTAAAAGCTATTGAATTCACTTCGGCTTCATCACTATCGGATGAAGATAAAAATTGATTCGGTCGGAGCGCTTCTTTTGTTTTTGGGAATAATGGGTGCAAACCTTCATATCACGCGTTCATTGACTTCGTTCGGAAGCTTATTAACTAAAGTATCGTACCAAACGCATAATTGACTTGTTAACTCTGAAATTATGGATTTATTTGAAGTTTTCTGCTCGATAGACCCAAAATGGCCGATTAGGCCGATGTAGTTCTCTACCCTATGATTTCAGTTTGATGTTGATACCAAAATTTGATGCTGGCCTTTGCTCGGGCTACGAGTGAAATCTAAGCTTAATTCCAAAACAGCCAAAAAAAGTTGAATAGACTTCTCTGACGTTTGGGAAATGCACAAGTATTAGTGCAGAACTCGGGGTAAATTTTAAGTATTAGTGCAAGAAAACCTTTGAATTTACCCAAGTACTTGTGCAATTCACAAACGTCAGAGAAGTCTATAGGTTCATAGAAAAACACCCCATGATTTCTCCTTCTACTTCTTTCCTTTATTTAACGTCGGTCTCTGTTCCACAATCTAGTACCAATCACTGACGGACATCGATTGCCATCCATTGACGGCAATCGAATATGCAGGAAGGCAGCTTCCACACCTGCGTAGGATATCGCACCCACTTAAACACACATGGGCCGGGACCAACGGTTTTACTTCCCTTCCGAAGGAAGACGTGACCAGAGATTTTTATGTCTCAGAAAAATCCCACCGACCTCGGCTGGGATTGAACCCAGACCCATTGGGGTGATAAAGTAGTCACGTTTACCACTACACCACCAGCGCCGGCCACCCCATGATTTCAGGAACATGATTAATTATACCGACCAAAACAAAGATGAGTAGGTTTAAGGACACCACAGACTGTGAGGACACTATTTGTTTTACCACTGCACAGTTCCACGGGCACGCATTTGGCGATCTAATTAATAGATAAAGTTCAAAATAAATTTACATGTCTGACGCAGAGAAGCAAGCATCTAATTTAATTTTCACTTCTGTATGATTTGTGGATGGCGAGATCAGTGCTAGTGAAAACGCGAAGAGGAGGGATTCCATGAGCCTTCACCTTAACTTTCGAGTAGTCGCGACACAAAAAGTTACACGAGCAGTCACATCGCCCAAAACGCACCCCTGGGAAAAACGCCCGATGGGATTTTTCATAGCATTCCCGTTCACAAAATTGACAAGTCATAGTGGGAGTTTAGTAGGGTAAATGACGGCTTCGGCAATACCTTATTCTATTATCGTCATTGGAGTAAACAACGTCCTTGTGTGCTAAATTTTGGCATGTGGATACATTGTGTTTAATAGTGTGGATAGGTTAAGGTTTTGCCGAAGTCTGCATTTCTTCTACTTAAACCAAAACCCCAGAATTAAGAGTAGAATTGATCATTTTGTCAAGCTTCTGCATTCATGTTCCATCAGATGTCACAGCTGTTGTTTGCGGTGACATCTATCGGAAACTAGACACAATCTGTTTTCCTATAATTGTTCACAGAGGACATTGCAGTGCAAAACATGTACATGTACCTCTATATATTGTGTGTGGCAGGATAATTTCTCAAAATGGGATTATACCATCTGCTTTCTGTTTATGGCCGTACGGCTGCGCCCATTGATTTAACACACGGCGGCTATTTATCCAGGATTCGCTCCTCAAGCCGCTGCCATAAAATACTATCTAAGTTTCACACCTGTGTATAATTCTTATGGGCGGGGTTGCATCGCACTTATGAGCGGCGCGTTTCGATCGTCAACAAATGATAATTTAACATAAGCGCGACAATATGCATTTAGATTAATATTCGAAGTCCCTCCTTTTTTACACATTCTGCACACAACAGCTGTGACATCTGATGGAACATGAATGCAGAAGCTTGACAAAATTATCAATTTCAGTTATACCTAGTTCTTGAACTATACCAGATAGAACAATTCAACATTCAGCAAAGCTGTTCAGCTGGACAACGCCGTTCTGACAGTGGGTCGTTTAGTTCAGAATCGAGTCGCTAGGTGACACCAGAGTACAAATAAAGTACTTTCATTCATAACTCTGGATCGGGACCAGATAGAAGTATCATTTCTTCAGTAAAGTTGTTCAAATGGACAAGATCTGTTCAGGAGTGATCAGTTTAGTTGGGAATTGATTCAAAAGGCGGCGCCACAGTACAAATAATGTTCTTCTAGTGGTGACTAAGGATCGGGACCAGATAGAAGGTTTCGGTCTTCAGCAAAGTTGTTAAAATGCTCGAGACCCGTTCAGTAATGAGAAGTTTAGTTGAGAATCGACTCACTAGGTGGCTGCAGAGTACAAGTCATGTTCTTGATGTAATAAATCAGAATCAAGACTGCATAGAAGATGATTGTCATCAGCAAAGTTGTTCAAATTGACGAGACCCGTTCAGTAGTGAACATTTTAGTTGGGAATCGACACAAAAGGCAGCGCCAGAGTGCAAATATAGATCTTCTTGTGATAACTAGGGATCTAGGCCAGATACAAGTTATCTGTTTTAATTAAAGCTGTTCAAATGGACGAGACCCGTTTAGTAGTAAACAGTTTGGGTGGGAATTGATTCAATAGGTGACGCCATATTTCAATTAAAGTTCTTCTTGTGATAACTTTCGATCGAGACCAGATAGAAGTTTCCTATTGTCAGCAAAATGGTTCAAATGGATGACACCCGTTCGGTACTTCATAGTTTAGTTGGGAACAAGGAGGCATAAAAAAAATTGTTTAGATTACCGAAGTCGGTAAAATTTTACTGGGTTTTAAAACAGCTGAGTTTTCAGTAATCAACCCAGTAGTTTTTACTTTTACTGAAAACTCCGTAAAACTGTCAAAAATTACCGTAAGTCAGTAAGAAAATGCGGTGTATATCAGTAATTTATTTGTTTGCATGTCTTTTTTTTTGTAAGGCTACAATTTCTAAGCTTTCTATAATTATTACTCAAATAAGCCGTATTCCTGGCAAACTTGGCGATTGATTTTCTACTTCATTCTGTTAAATTATTCAAAGGACATGGCACACAAAAAGACCTTTTAATTGAGATACTAAAAAAAATATCATCAAGGCGATCTGATGGATGTACCCGCTGTGCGATGGCATAATGTCAACCGTGGGAAGGACTAGCAGGTCTGAGCTTTGTAAAACTAGCCGTCTTTTTCATTCCTCCACTTTTTAATAGAAGTTACATGACACTGGCTGGTACATGCTCGGTTTAAGAATAAATGAGAGAACAACTTCTATCTGCCAGACAATAGTATAGGATTATCAGATAAGTTTTTGTTCTTGTTTCTTTCTTTCTCCCATCAGTTAAATTTTAAGTTTGTGTTTCTGTGTTAGTATTTTTTTTTCGTGTATTGTGTCCGAGTAATTTTGATTATCGTTGCAGTGGTAGGGCGTTTTTCGCTCCCACTAGTACGGCAAAATGGACATTTTGTCGGAAGACGAAATGGACGTTTTGTCGGAAGATGAAACCACTTTGCCACGCGATAGCAAGAAGGGTCGAAAACGTCTGTCATCCCAGAAATCAGATGATGTCATCCCTGGTTCGTCATCTCAGTCTGGTAATGGACAGGGACAGATAAGCCCCCGATCGCGAGCCTACCCAGAAGACTCGACTGGCCCATGGGTTGTTTACTTTCAGCCCAAAAAGAAACCTTTGAATGTAATGCAAATTACTAATGATCTGACGAAGCGGTTCTCGGCCGTGACCGAAATATCAAAGGTGAGGTACAATAAACTTCGCGTTGTCGTCTCTAACCTGAAACAAGCTAACGAGATTGCTGCCTCCCAGCTCTTTACACTCGAGTATAGAGTGTACATCCCAGCTCGTAATGTGGAGATCGAAGGTGTGGTCACCGAAGCGAGTCTGACCCCAGAGATCTTGGCGAAGCAAGCGGTTGGCCGTTTCAAGAACCCCTTGCTTCCCACGGTTGAGATACTGGAAGTCCAGAAGCTGAACTCAGTATCTTTCAGCGAGGGTAAAAAGAGCTTTACCCCCACAGACTCGTTTCGGGTGACCTTTTCTGGTTCAGCCCTTCCTCACTACATCGAGTTGGGAAAACTTCGGCTACCTGTGCGTTTGTTTGTTCCTCGGGTCATGAACTGTCAAAACTGCAAACAGTTGGGACATACGGCCTCTCACTGTGGCAGCAAGGCACGCTGTTCCAAATGCGGGGAGAAGCACGAGGATGGCGCCTGCACAGTCACTGCACCAAAATGCGTGTACTGTAAGGGAACTCCTCATGGTCTCTCATCGTGCCCGGCGTACAAACAACGCGGGGAGAAACTAGAACGCTCTCTTAAGGAGCGTTCCAGGCAGTCTTTTGCAGCAATGCTAAAAACAGCCACACCATCAACCAACGACAAAAATCCCTTTGCTGTTTTGTCTGATGACGAGTCTGACTCTGACTTGGCTG